TTAAGACTGGTTGTTTAACATAAGAACCATTAGAATTGTGTATAGAATGCCTTGCATATTGTGGGAGACAAATGAATATTAAATGATGATGGTGATCTAGCATGTGACTCCTTTCTTTCACTTGTTCTAAACTACCTACTTTCTTTAATCTATGGTTTAATACTTGTTTTAAACATACAATATACATATAGTAATCATAGTACCTAATGGCTCACAGCTACAAAGAAGAATCAAACAGTACTGTTCATAGCACATGTATAGCTTTTACACCAATGGTTATATAATTGTGTAAATTGAAATATCAAATTTAATATCAGGTTTAAATATCAAATCAGAAAAAATTAAAAATTATTTAAAATTATATCTGTTCCTAGGATCACCAATTATTGTATGTTCATTGTTATGCTTCAAAATTTTAATTAATATCTTGAACTCTAAAATATTTTGGTTGTTCATAGCATTTTTCAAGTGGTTAACTATTGTTTTGAAAGACCTGATTGATAAATATGAAACAACATTGAGAAATTTAATCATATCTGTTTATAATTCTTATTTGCAGTAAAACTCATTATATCCTGGGATGCGGTCTCAAAACTTGAAAAGACTTCAAATGTCATACTGACAGAGAGTATTCATGTGTGTTCCCAAGGAGAGAATCACTACTTTTCAATGTTTTTGCATATTAACAAAACATACCTTCTTATGGAACAGCTGGCAAACTATGCTATAAAAAGAATTTTTGATAAGGAAACATTTGATAATGACCCAATCCTTGATGATCCTCTACAAATTACTAAAAGGTATTCAAAGATTAATTTTTACTTTTTAAGTATTGTTTGACCAAAGAATGGTAGCATTGAATAGCATTAAAAGTTAACTGTTCTTAAAAAAATTTAATTGTTCTATGTTATATGATAGCTTTTCTTTGGAGTAATCATAAATGTGTGGGTTTTTTTGTTTATTCATGTGCATTTCACAAATAGTATCCTCTCCATTCCATTATGGTTTATCACAGGATATTGAATATAGTTCCCTGTGCTACACAGTAGGACCTTGTTGTTTATCCATCCTATATATAATAGTTTGCATCTGCTAATCCCAAACTCCCAATATTTCCCTCTTCCACCATCCACCCCCCGCCAACAGTTTCATTTTTTATTAAAAGGGTAAGTTAGTAGAGTCAATGGAACATGTGCTTCAGAATGAGAGTAGAGAAACCCTGGGACAAGTCATAATCTCTCAGGACCTCAGTTTTCTCAGCAGTCATTTGTACCTCAGAGAGCACTTGTGAGGAATGAGCAATATAACGTTTGAAAGCACTTTGTAAAATATAAGCACTAGATAAATGTTAATCATTACTAATGCCTGCATCAGAAGTATCTGTCTGGTAGCTGTTTGCCACTCTATTTGGTTTGCTGAAACTGACCAGAGCCATTTCATCCTGCTCAACACTCAGAACAGTTGACTGAAGTGAGCTGAGCCTGCCAAAGGGGAGGGAGGGCGGAGAGGATCCAGAAATAGCTAGTGAGAACCACTTTTGGCAAGGAGGATGAGGGTATAGACTGTATGGGAAAGTGTAAATGAGACAAACCTAAGCTACAGTCCTATGGATAGACCAGAACAAGTGATCTGGATGGTTGTGTGATTGCTACATAGCCCTAACTTGGGTACAGTTGTTCCTCTTGCCTATTCTTAAACCATTCGTAAAAGCTATATACCTAAGGGTTCCTTTGTGAGCCTTTCTGCTTTTCTGGAAATAGATCAGTGAGGTGAATTTTTTTACACCTTATTACCAAAATTAGGTCCCAGTGTGCATGATTCATAAATAGAACTCTATAAGGATTAAAAATACAGTTTATGTTATGTTAAAGTGAGGCATTTGTTTTTGTAGGTTTTTTTTTTTTTTTTTTTTTTTTTGCGGTACACGGGCCTCTCACCGCTGTGGCCTCTCCCGTTGCGGAGCACAGGCTCCGGACGCGCAGGCCCAGCGGCCATGGCTCACGGGCCCAGCCGCTCCGCGGCATGTGGGATCTTCCGGACCAGGTCACAAACCCGTGTCCCCTGCATCGGCAGGCAGACTCAACCACTGCGCCACCAGGGAAGCCCTGTAGGTTGTTTTGATTGGCCACCATAAACAAACATTTTTAGCCATTTTATTTCCCTTAAAATATTCTAAAGGGCCATCTATCAATGAGTTATTCATTACCAAGTCTGTATTTAAATGAGGTATAGGAAATTCATTTTTGTCTACGTGCAGTTTTAAAAGAGCCTATTGAAAATTGTATATATCTAAATCCTTTTTTCTAGTAAGTTAAAAAGAACAATAGCTTATTTAGACTTAGTCTCCAAATGACTTTTTTATAAACTGGAGTATCTTTATTGCTTTGGCTTATTGTTTTTACAAATATGTATTACAATAGCTAAATTCAGTGTATATCCTTCCAGGCCTTTTAATGCATGAATTAAAACTATTTGCCAAAAGCATGGAGGGGACCTAAACATCACATATTATTCTACAGTCTGCTTTTTCTCCCCCCTTAAAATAATGTATCATGGACATCTTTTCATTCATGTAAAAGGTCCTTATCCTTTTAAATAATAGTGAAGTAGCCCACCAAATTACAATTTAAGTGAGGTAAAAATTAATGTGGTTCTCTGTTCATATTTATCAGAATTATTTTTGAAAGACATGGTGAACTGCCACATATTCAAATAGTATATGCTGGAAGGATAAATTTAGTTTTAACTTTGTTGGCTTTGAGTTCGAACTTGTATAATTTACTCACTACCCCAGATGGCATTTCTGCTTAGCACAAGTGTTTATTGCCTCTAGAAAAATTGTACTATTTTAAGCAATTGTTTTTTATTTATATACTTATGTATCAGTTAACAAATCATCTGTATTTATTGACACCCATTCTGTGCCCAATACTGTGCAAGAAGTGTTGTTTTATCTTGCCTCTACTTTTGAATTTTTTAAATATTCATTTACATTTTTGCTTCACTTAATTTTTTTTTTTTTTTTTTTTTTTTTTTTTTTTGG